ATCTTTACCAAAGATGACATGGTATAGGTTGGCAATATGATACAACTTAGACTGTTTCTAGAACTCTTTTGCCTTTTTATCCTTAATACTTGATCAAGAAAAAAAGATGATTAGCATCAATTTGGTTTTGCACCGCTTTTATGCTAAGAATGTAGTAGGTCTAGATATGGCTGGCTCATTGTCGTTTACGCTTTCAACTTCTTATAACCACCATTCTCTGACTAAAGTCTTAGTGATTAGGCATAAGAGGCAACCTAGTAGAAGCAAGGAACATCCAGATGAGCAGTTCATTACTATGGAGTACTATGTTTAGACCATGAGCATATGGTACTTTCATAAATGACAAATAAGGTTGACATTTGTAATAAAACATAGTGCTAGTATTTCTTTTAAATTTGTTCTAGGCTAGAAGGTTCTATGTTTGTAAAACTTAGCTCTACCCAAATATATATACACGTCTATTGTAAGACAAAGTTATGGATGAATAAAATTTCTGGTTTCTTTCTTTCTTTCTGTCTTCTAATTTTTTTTGGATTTATACCTACATCAAAAAGGCGCTAAAGTTTCTTGAGATCACTAGCTCTTATGTGAGGCTCAAGTCCTCATCCCTCTCCTAGCAAAAGCAGCGATCTGTCATATTCTTCTTTCAGCCACAGTTCATACAACCGCAACCTCACCCAAGCCTCTGGCAGAAATCAGCCGGCAGAACCTGTCCCAGCTCAATTTCAGCACATTCTTATCTCCCGATTTAGTGAGGATAGACTGTAATTTGATGCACTATTTAAATACTTTTATTTGTACATTTCTTATGGGATTCAGGCCTTGTCAACTAGATAAGCTTGCAGGAGGATCGACTTGAATAATGGAGACAGGACTATACAGCACGTGCAATTCGCTGCTCGTCCATTGCGCATTATATGCGAATGAATGCGACGCCATATTGCGTTGCAGTACTGGGCTTTTCTTCGACGCTTGGAAAGCGCACGAAGAATTTCCAAAATGCGTGGAGATGCCCGCATTTTTTTTTGATTTCTGCTATGAAAATGACATGTGTGATAATGTGCCTATATAGAGGACTATGAGTGTCTGAAATCGATGCTGGTTTGATCTAAAAAGACTGATTTTCTTTGCATAATTATAAGATTTCATATTCATTCCATTTTAAACCATGCAACATTCTCTGACCGTAGATTATAGAATTCAATGTATTGGTAAGACACATCTGGTTGAATATATTGATTTTCAAATTGATGTAATCATGCCTTATTTTTTTTTATGCATTTGCAAGCCGTACTCTACGCTTTTGTGCAAAAGCATTTGTTTAGTGACTCTGTATTATTCTTAGTACACTGCATGGTGTCAACACAAGAAATTATGTGGTAATCCCATGGTATGAAGGTACGTATTGAGACTACTAAGTGAAGTATTCACTGTATTGTCAGACTTATATTGTCATTTGGTCAAATGGCACAGCAGCGACGCAAAGATCCCATTAAGCATGAGCACGTTGTACGGCGTGGCGGCGCCTATTGTTAAACATAGCGCACAATAGATATTAAACTA